AAAAAAAAAAAAAGATATTTAAAAACTCCTTAAATGGCAATAATTTTCTTAAACTTCCCAGTTATAAAGGATATTAACATTTGACATATAGACTAGAAGGTATGGTAAAACTATTTCAGAGGTCGAAGTCATAGCGGTTTAGTGAGCTTCATTAATTAAAGAGTCTTTTATGAAACAATAATCAGTTGTCTATCACTTACAATACACTAGTGATAAAAGAGTATTTTTTTTTAGACAGAATCTCAAGCTGTTGCCATGGGTAGAGTGCCATGGCATCACAACTCACAGCAACCTCCAGCTCTTGGGCTTAAGCAATTCTCTTGCCTCAGCCTCCCCAGTAGCTGGGACTATAGGTGCCCACCACAACAACCGGCTATATTTTTTTTTTTAAGAGACAGAGTCTCACTTTATCACCTTCCGTAGAGTGCTGTGGTGTCACACCTCACAGCAAACTCCAACTCCTGGGCTTAGGCGATTCTCTTGCCTCAGCCTCTTGAGTAGCTGGGACTACAGGTGCCCGCCACAACACCCAGCTATTTTCAACTATTTTATTTTGGTTGCAGTTGTTATTGTTTAGCAGGCCTGGGCCGGGTTCAAACCTGCCAGCCCCAGTGTATGTGGCCAGTGCCCTGCCAACTGAGCTATGGGTGCTGCCACTGAAAAGATTCTTTTCTTTCCTCTTTTTTTTTCTGAGACAGAGTCTCACTATATTGCCCTCCGTAGAGTGCCATGGCATCACAGCTCATAGCAACCTCAAACTCTTAGGCTTAAGCAATTCTCTTGCCTCAGCCTCCCAAGTAGCTGGGACTACAGGCGCCCACCACAATGTCCAGCTACTTTTTTTGTTGCAGCTGTTTGGCTGGACCGGGTAGGATGTGAACCCACCACCTCTGGTATATGTGGCTGGTGCCGTAACCACTGTGCTACGGGTGCCAAGCCAAAGATTCTTTTCTTAATTATCATTGTATTTGTCTTCCTTGTAACTATTTAGATATTCAAATTCTTATGTACTCTAAAAGGTAACCTATCGTTCATGAATAGGGTTGCTCTGTATATGAAACATGTTCAACTTTCAATACAATTTCATTTTGTAGGGTTAAGCATATGCACATAAGATTTTAAAAGTGTACTAAGGACATCTTATAAATTATTGTTTATAGAATGTTTATAGAAAATTAATGTTTATAGAAGAAAAGAATGTTCTTATCTTATCCTCACTTTACTCAAAAAGCACACGCATATGACCAATAAAGCTGGTTTTTAAAAATCTCTTATACTCCTGTTTCCCAATTCTTAATAAAATGTCCTTTCAAACTGACACCTAATTTTCTTTTTTTTTTTTTTTTGAGACAGAGCCTCAAGCTGTCCCCCTAGGTAGAATGCCGTGGCATTACAGCTCACAGCAACCTCCAACTCCTGGGCTCAAGCGAGTCTCCTGCCTCAGCCTCCCAAGTAGCTGGGACCACAGGCGCCTGCCACAACGCCCGGCTATTTTTTGGTTGCAGCCGTCATTGTAGTTTGGTGAGTCCGGGCTGGGGATTCGAACCCGCCACCTTAGGTGTACGTGGCTGGCGCCTTAGCTGGTTGAGCTATAGGCGCTGAGCCCTGACACCTAATTTTCAATGTGTATACTGGTATATCCATTTTCTTGTTTAATCCTAATAATGTTGTTGGTTAGAAGATATTTCTCAAAAATAAACTATGAAAGATCTCTTTCTCCTCCTCAATTTCTCAAAAAAAAAAAAACTAGGAAAGATCTCTTTCTCCTCCTCAATTACTGAGCAAACTACATTCAACTAACCTTCTAGCACTGCCCACCTCCCTTCATACAGCAGTGAGTGAATTAGGCAGCTATTCTGTGGACTTATTTCTTTCATCCTAGAGAAAAGGCATGAGACAAGTTCTTTCTTTCTTTCTTTCTTTTTTTTTGAGACAGAGCCTCAAGCTGTCACCCTAGGTAGAGCGCTGTGGCATCACAGCTCACAGCAACCTCCAACTCCTGGGCTCAAGCGAGTCTCCTGCCACCGCCTCCCAAGTAGCTGGGACCACAGGCACCCACCACAATGCCTGGGTATTTTTTGGTCACAGCCATCACTGTTGTTTGCGGGCCCAGGCTGGATTCGAACCCACCACCTTAGGTGTATGTGGCTGGCGCCTTAGCCACTTGAGCCACAGGCACCAAGCCAGGACAATTTCTAAATGAAAATATTTCATATTATTGGCTTAAGTAATACCATGAAATGTACCATTTATTATATACCCAATATAATAAATGCAAAAAAGTGGTACCTAAGTAATATAATTTAAATTTTAGTTTTAAAAGTATAAATACAAAGAAAACAGTTAAGAGTAAAATTCTTTGCATGGAAAGATTGAATACAGGTAAATAAGAGGGCTTTTATTTTTTAACTTTAGGTTTATACTAATTTCCCTACCATACAAGTAGAAATTTTTAAATGTTTCAAAAAAGCATACCATCATTGACTCGGTAACATAAGTTACACTTCCATCTCCTTTGATCAAGAAAGCTGACAAAAGGGTTGATGTATGTTCTGCATGAACGGCATCTCACGATTGTACTGGAGGTAACCACAGGCAATTGCTGCAAAAACAAAACTAAGTTTTTAATGGTGACTATCATGTTGAAAGGGCAAGCATTAATCCATCTCTTCTAAATAAGTGTTGGGCTATTAAAATTTTGGAGAAAAAAACTTGGATAAAAGGTATGTTCAACTGCCACACAAAAAATTATATAACTTAAATGTATTGATCTTAAATTTTATTGTTTTTCTCCTGGACAATTTTCATCAAAATCTGCCTTTTAAAAAAAGTATTTATTTTTCCGTTAAACATTCACATTGCATGCCTGTCATCCTAGCACTCTAAGAGGGAAGGACGGAATAATGGCTTGAGCTAAGGACTTCAAGACCAGCCTGAATAACAGCAAGACTCTGTCTCTACTAAAATTAGAAAAAAAAACTAGCTGTTATAGCAGGGGCCTTTCATCCTAGCTACTTGGGAAGCTAAGGCAGGAGGATGGCTGGAGCTCAGGAGTTGGAGGTTGCAGTTAGCTATCATGGCACCACTGCATTTTAGTGTGGAAGAAAAAATCCTGTCTCAAAAAAAATTAAAAAGTCAATAAGGGATTTGGCACTGTAGTTCAAAGAGTAGGGCACTAGCCACCTACACCAGGGCTGGCAGGTTCAAACCCAGCCTGACAAACAATAATGACAACTACAACAACAACAAAAAAATATAGCTGGGCATTGTGGCAAGCACCTCAGTCCCAATTTGGGAGGCTGAGCAAAAGAATCGCTTAAGCCCAAGAGTTTGAGGTTGCTGTGAGCTGTGATGCCACATTACTTTACCGAGGGTGACACAGTGAGACTCTGTCTCAAAAAAAAAAAAGGTCAGGCTCTGCGCCTATGGCTCAAGCAGCTAAGGCGCCAACCACATACACCTGAGCTGGCAGGTTCGAATCCAGCCTGGGCCCGCCAAACAACAATGACAGCTGCAACCAAAAAACAGCCAGGCGTTGTGGCAGGCGCCTGTAGTCCCAGCTACTTGGGAGGCAGAGACAGGAGCATCACTTGAGCCCAAGAGTTGGAGGTTTGCTTTGGGCTGTGATGCCACGACACTCTACCCAGGGTGACAGCTTGAGGCTCTGTCTCAAAAAAAGAAAGTCAATAAAGGCAATTAAAATCCCATCACCAAAGGAGGTTTGTCTTAGAAAAGCCACCTCACTCATACACTGATCCTCAAGGGTTTGTGGCCAAATGTTAAGGTCCCAGAGGCTTCAACTTCTTTTTTCTTCTTGAACAACTTCTTAAAATAATGAATTTTACTCAAAGAATGGCAGAATGGGCCAGGCACAGTGGTTCACACTTGTAATTCTAGCACTCTGGGAGTCAAAGTGAGAGGATCACTTGAGCTCAGCAGTTTCAGGGCAGCCTGAGGCCCCCTCTCTACTAAAAATAGAAAAATTAGCCAGGTGTTGTGGCAGGCACCTGTACTCCAGCTATAAGGTAGGCTCAAGCAGGAGGAATTCTTGAACCCTAGGAGTTTGAGGTAGCTGTGAGCTGGCACTTTACCCTGGGCAATAGAGTGAGACTGTCTCAAGAAAAAAAAAAAAAAGGCAGAATGGAGAGATTAAAGAAGTTTAATAGATAAATAATTTGCAACTTCCTAGAACATTATGGTTCTTTCGTTTAAATTCTTTTAGTATCTGTATTCTATTCAGTATCTCCTGGGTTTTTCAACAATGTTTACCTAGTTTTTGAAAGTGTAATAAAATTTCAAGGTGAAACAAGAAATCTATCAATGACTAACTTTCTAAAAATAGCTCAAATTTAATAGCCGGGTGTTGTCGCAGGCACCTGTAGTCCCAGCTACTCAGGAAGCTGAGGCAAGTGAATCGCCTAAGCCCAGGAGGTTGCTATGAGCTGTGTGACACCACAGCACTCTACCAAGGGTGATAAAGTGAGACTCTGTCTCTACCAAAAAAAAAAAGCTCAAATTTTACATGTGCTTCTTGTATTGCTCCAGAAAATTTTCACCACAAGATAATTTTCCACTAGACATTTACTTTCACTAAAGAAACATACCACTAAGTCTTTGAAAGGATGAAGCAGTAGTCCCAAAGGAAGTTTGGCTTTATTCAGTAATGCCTGAGTTTGAGGAATGCTAGTCAGTGTGCATCGAAATAACCTGTATCAAAGTAAAAGCATGTATCAGGTGTTGCTATGATTATTTTTGCACAAAAAAAATTTTTTTTAAGGTACACATTTTAACATCAGATCAGGAAGTGAAATATTTCAATAGACCCTCTCAAACTTTATACCATTAAAATATTTAAATATCAGTCATACACAGAAATAGAGAGTAGATGGTTATCCTATATTATATAACTAATAAAGACTCTTCTTGGCCTATGTATTTGATAAAACTTAAGAAAAAGAAAGATCATACTGGAATAATTAGGTGATGACTCAAATTTGCAAATATAAATTTTATTATGTAAAAGTTTGGTTTTACTGAAGATTCTAAAAACGCAACTTATTGGCAGCATCAACTAAAATGGGGAAATTACAAAAAAAGGAAAGAATAAAATATATCAATGAAAAGAAAAATATTATTTAAAAGTACTAAATTCAACTTATTCAGAAGTCTTAACTACATATATTCACACTTCTGGCAAATTTTTCAGGATTAAAAAGTATTATTTTTGTTATGAAATTAATGTAAAATAAGAACAAATAAAGGGTTATATAGTAGAACCTCCATAGCTGACCACCTCCCCACATTGACCACCTCCTAAAGTTGACCTAATTTTCATAGACTGGACATGGACCACATGTCCTACGTATCATTATAATGGGCCTACTTTCTCATATTCACCACCTCTGTATGTTGACTAACTTGTTACAGTCACTCAGGTGGTCAACTTACAGAGGTCCTACTGTATAGAATCAAATTCCTATACTTTAAGTTATAAAGAAAAACTGTAGCAACCAAAATGATAATGGCTCAGCGCCCATAGCACAGTGACTACTGCACCAGCTGGTGGTTTCCAACTGGGT